AACCCACTCAATGTGCCTAAGCAGAACTTAGAAACATCGTACAGGTTGGTGAAAGGGTTGCCTTCAGTCTCTGCCTCAACCTATTTGGGAGTGACCATAGCTTAGTTCTGGGAGTGATTTAAGACCAACCCAAACAAAGGCCATGTAGTTCTCAGTCTTGGGGCAAAACATTAATTCAAGTGTAGTCTGGCTGGTCAGTTCTGCACTAACAGGATTCAAATTGATTTCTCCAAATGTCCCTGACGTGCTTAAGAGTTTTTAGACTCTTCCTGTAAGTAGCATGGGATACTTCTTGCTCAGATTCAAAGAGAAAGCTCCATCCCCTTTGCTCCAATAAATAGTAAACAACTTGGTCTTTAAAAAGAATCTGAGGAGGAATTGAGAATCCTAGAGGATTTATTAAACTAGATGTAGCCTGGTTTTCTTGTGTACCTGGCCTAGCTTAATGGAGCCCTTAATTGTTTTGGGCTCTTCAGGCTTTACTCCATATAAACAGAAGCTGGTGAAAGGAGGTTCAGATGCAGAATCTCACCTCATGAGATAGTGGAGAACTGGATCAGGAGAGACTGGGGGTGCAAACAGGCTGCTCTTCAGGCCACTGCTGCAAGACTTTCTCATTACTGCCCCATCTTGCAGCTCCTGGAGCAAGCGCTGGTGATCGAGGAGCAGTTGCGGCGAGCTGCCTATCTGAACATGTCAGAAGACCCAACTCATCCATCTATGGCTCTGAACACACGTTTTGCAGAGGTGGAATGCCTGGCTGAGAGCCACCAGCACCTATCCAAGGAGTCAATGGCCGGGAATAAACCAGCCAATGCCGTGCTGCACAAAGGTAATGCAGCGTGTTAAACAAGGGTGGGATAGGGGTTTAGCATTTAGCATCGCTGTCTCTTCCCTTGTGGGGTGTCCCTTTCCCCTCTGAACAGATGTCCCTTTCTCTTCCAGTTCTGAAGCAGCTGGAGGAACTTTTGAGTGACATGAAGGCAGATGTGACTCGTTTGCCTGCCACCATTGCCCGTATCCCACCTGTGGCAGTGCGCCTCCAGATGTCCGAGCGCAACATCCTCAGCCGGCTGGCCAACCGCAGCAGTGAGCCCCCTCCACCGCCACCTCCCCAACAAGTACGTACCCTCTCTGGTCAGTAAGCAGCGTTACCTAGGGGGGGAGCGGGGCCTCCACAGGGAAAGCCAGGGTCTATTGACCAGGCATTGAGTCTCGGATTGTCTTCTCTTGCCTTACAGGTGGCCCAGCAGCAGTGAGTCCCCGGCCCAGTGCTGTTGACCTTTCGGCCAAGCTGAAGTGACCCCCCCACCCCACCCCTTCACACTCTACCCCTCTGCCTGACATTCCTGACTGGGTGCTGTTTCCCTCCATGGAAGCTGCTGCGCAGGTCTCTGGGAGGAGAAGAAACTCCTTCCTCTGCAGCCAGCCCGTTGGAGCAAGGAGTGTGCTTAGGAGAGAGGGGGATGTATGATGGACTCTGTATATAGTGACTGGAGGCCACAGCGCCATGTCTGTTACACGGAGAACCTGGCTGCATTGCTCGCTGCCTCCGCCTGGAATTCCAGTTTTTGTTTTTAATTTTATTTTGAGTTTGTTTACTGAAATGAGTGCGCAGGCAAGACCAAGCAAAAGCCAGGACAGAGACAAAGCTACCTCCATCAAGATCCTTTTTAATACAAAAACTGACCGGACTTGTCCACTAATAAGCAGCTTGAAGACAAAAACAAACAAAAAAAAA